AGTTTACTTTGATCTGTTTACTGTTTGGTGTCTGAGTTTTAAACAGGGAATTTATGAACATACAGATGTTTATTCTTTTTAATAAGAATATGTATTGCAGAGTGGCACGGTGGCTCAGCGTTTATCACTGTTGCCTCACAGCAAGAAGGTCTCTGGTTTGAATCCCTGGGCCAGTTAGCATTTCTGTGTGGAGTTAGCATGTTCTTTCCTTGATTGTGTGGGTTTCCTCTGTTTTAAAATGCGCTGCACTTTCTTACAAAGCAAAGAAATTAATATAACAAACTGCATTTTCTCACAACACAAAGAATTTAAGAAAACAGGCTGCATTCTTACACAACAAACAAATAAAAAAAAAGCGTTGTGCTTACAACTCAAAGAAATTAACATAACGCTGCATTTTCTTAAGATGCATAAAATATAATAAATATAATCTCTTACAACACAAGCAGATTATTAAAAAGCGCAGCATTTCCGTACACGGCAAACAAATTAAAACATACTACATTTTCTCACAACACAAACACTTTACGAAATATCACTGCATTTTCTCATAACACAAACAAATTAATAAAACTTGCTGCACTTACAACGCAAACAAAAAAAAGCACGCTGCCTTTTAACGCAAACAATTTATGAAAACGCGCTGCACTTTTTTTACAACGCAAACAATTTTGTGAAAATGTGCTGCATTTTCTCACAACCCAAACAAATAATTAAAAAAAAAACGTTACTTGAAATAGGCCAGAAGAATTCCCAGGTTATTTTCACACTTATGTAATCAGAGAACATTTCAAATAATTATGTCATGTGTTAGACTTACTATTCATCTTTCGTAAATGACAACCATGTGACATTACTAAACATGGGCTATATGAATAAGCACAAAATGTCATATCGATAGGACTGAATTAAACTGCAATAGAAAACCATGAGAAATCATTATCCATAATGAAAAAAATGGCTCTGGTGTCTAATTATAGACTTGGCACGGGAAAGCTGCATGCATGGACCACTTATATAGACAAATAGAGCAGAATATATTTCTTAACACTGCAATATATTTGTAAAACAGCATGGTTACTCTGATGCAGAATCATTTATACTGCGTTTTTAGGTTACACTTTGTTTTACAACAAAGTGAATTGTTATGCCTGTTTTATTTTTTATTATTATGTTTTTATTATATTATTATCATTTGTATTATTTAAAGCATACTAATAAATTACAAAAAAAAAAAAAAACAGCTTAAGATGATCAGCTGAAGAAGCACACAGGAAGTGGCACGTTTGCACGATGTTGGCAGGTGCCGCAGATGATAACCAGACTGTCAAGTTTGTCAATTGTGGTTACACCCTTCAACCGCAATGTGAAATACAGAGAAAAGTGACAGAGATAACAGGTGAAACTGAAAAAAGAAAGTACAAAGTACAAATAAAATGATTAATCAGACCAGTGAATGGGTAAAACCTCTTACATAATGTCTACCAATATACAGTGTAAGGCAAATTATTAGGCATTCTGTGATCATTTTTATTTATGCATTTTTACTATTAAGTTTTTTCTTAGTTCATTTAGTTTGGCTAAAAATGAAAGCAGTTTTACATTTGTTAAAACAATATTTTAAGGTAAATTAATATTAGATATTCGTTTTCAAATGGCAACAGAAGAAACTAACTTGTCAATTGACTTGTTTAATAATCACAACTAGCATTGTTCATCTAATTAACCTACTAGTTTTGCCTTTAAATAGCACTTTAAGCTGAATACTAATATCTAGTAAAATATTATGTACTATTATAATAATAATAACAAAGATAAATTAGTCATTACAAATTATTAAAGATTTAACATTATAACAAGTGCTAAAATAATCTCTCCATTAAACAGCACTTGTGAACTATTTGGATAAAGATGTAAGAGGAGGGCTAATAATTTTGCCTTGAAGTGTAACAGCTGAACAAGCACATCTTTAATGTATTTCTCATCGCATTATACACTTTAACTAATTGTCCTGACCTCATCATTTACTGTACATAATGCACCTAATGCAAGGCCCAGAGTATTTGAAAGGCGGTTAATGTGGCGTTTCCCCATCTGGGAGATTAAAGATAAAGTGAGTGGCTGAAATAAAAGCACACCCTTCAAAGTTCCTCCCATACTGTGAGCTGTGAATGGGGAAGCTCACAATGTGTGAAGCTTCAGGCTCCCTGCTGTTGCGCCGGACCTACCTTTGCTTGCTTACACATTTTTGTTTTGTGACCAAATAAACATCAAGTGCTTTGGCCAGTTTGATTTTCCTCCCTTATTTTGAATCGCATATCTCAACTCTGAGTTTGTGGTATATTTTACCTACTTTTTTGCATTAAAAATGACATGTAATTAGAATAAATGCTGTACATCCACGGCTGAGAACATCAATTGTGAAAGCAATTGGCTGGGAGCATCATTTGGTGACACTATATGCTGTAAACTTGTGTGGAGTGTGAAAACTATGATTTGTTGATTTTATAATGCATTTAGTCATTTATATATGTAGAGTGAGGACCGTAATCCATGCAGTTCAATTCAAATTCAAAGTTGTGCTTGATAAGATTGGTCAATGCCACGGTGGCCGAAACAGCTTAATGTGCTGCAATTTAAAAAAAACGCATGCAATTACAAAAAAACACCAGCAAATTGAGAAAAGATGAACTGTTTAACAGCACATACAAATCCTCACAATGCAAACACCTTTAAAAAAAAAAACATGCTGCATTTTCTCACAACACAAACCATTTACGAAAACGTGGTGCATTGTCTTACAACACAAATTAATAAAACATTCTGCATTTTCTCACAATGCAAACATTTTTTACGAAAACGTTGCATTCTCTCATAACGCAAACAGTTTACAAAAAAGCTGCATTTTATTCCACAATGCAAACAATTTAAGAAAACGTGCTACATTTTCTCACAACGCTAAAAATTTCAAGAGTTCACACTTAGCTGATGATTAATTATAAAAGCTTGTTTGGCATGCTGTCCCGGGAGAGAGCCCTGAGCTCATGAGATCCTCGAGCCCAGGGTTCCCTCCCGTTGCAAGGCGGGAGGGGAGTTTGAGCTCAGGTAGATCTCGAGAACTCCCCTGCTGTAGTAACCAATAAACATTAAGTGATTGCTCTTGAAGATAACTACATACTAGAAGTACATACTTTAAGAAAAGATGCTGCATTTTCTCAACGCAAACAATTTACAAAAATGACCTGCATTTTTTTTTCACAACACATTTTTTTTTACGAAAACATGGTGCATTTTCTCACAACGCAAACAATTTAAAAAATGTGCTGCATTTTCTCAAAAAGCAAGCAATTTACAAAAATGTGCTGCATTTTCTCACAACACAACAAAATTTACAAAAACGCGCTGCATTTTCTCACAAAGCAAACAATTTACAAAAATGCGCTGCTTATTCCCACAACGCAAACAAATTTAAAAAATATGCTGCATTTTCTCACAATACAAACAATTCACAAATATGCGCTGCATTTTTTCACAATGCAAATAATTCACGAAAACGAGCTGCATTTTCTCACAACACAATTTCTCACAACGCAAGCAATTTACGAAAAAAGCTTTATTTTCTTACAACAAAAACTATTTTATGAAAACAAGCTGGATTTTGATTGAACGCAAACAATTTACATAAATGAGCTGCATTTTCTCACAACGCAAAATTTTTTTAAAAAGCACTGCATTTTCTTACAACGCAAACAATTTTCAAAATTGCACTGCATTTTCTTACAACGCAAACAATTCACAAATATGAGCTGCATTTTCTGACAATGCAAACAATTTATAAAAACGTGCTGCATTTTCTCACAACACAATTTACAAGAACGCGCTGTACTTTCTCACAACAAAAACAATTTAAGAGAAAACGCTGCATTTTTTTCACAATGCTTTAAAATAGCATGAAACACAACAAAAATGTTTCGGAGAGACCCTAAAACGTGACTGACCCAGCTATTTAGGTTATGGTAATTTAGGCTAATAAAATACAAAAGTATTTCAGTGTGTTGTCATAAATTGTTTGCATTGTCAGAAAATACAGTGCTTTTTCGTGAATTGTTTGCATTGTGAGAAAATACAGCGTGTTTTCGTAAACTGTTTGCATTGTGGGAAAATGCAGCACATTTTAAAAAATTGTTTGCTTTGTTAAAAAATACAGTGCATTTTTTATTGTGTTTGCATTGTGAGAATTTGCAGCATGTGTGCTGTCAAAGGAAGATCTTTTCTAAATTCGCTGGTGTTTTTTTAATTTGCAGCTTGTTAAACGGCCATCTTGGCCATTGTACAACGCACTTTGAGTTAACAAAAACTAACAATGAATAGCTTTATTTTTATCAACTAATTTTATCAACGATAAATATATTTTGCAATAAATGTATTCATTTTGTTCATGTTAGTAAATACATTAGCTAAAATTAACTAATTCACCTTATTGTAAAGTGTTACCTCACTTTTATAGTGTATATTTTGAAGCATGCATTTGATATATTTTCACATAAATTACTAAATTAACTACAGTACCTCTGTTATGTAAAATCACAGTATTGCATGCAAGCAGGGAAAAAATAAAATCATTTTCTGTTACGTAATATTTAAAAAAAAATCTGAGAATGAAACCGATAAGCACTTGGAATTACACAATAGGCATGCAAGCTTCTTTGTTTGTGTCTATTCTTTGTTTGATTTACTTCTGTTTATTACTGTGTTATTATATTTGAGGAGGTCTGTAGTTCTGTAGAAAAACATGCATCACAAATGCATTAAATACCACAATAGTGATTTCTGCTTTAAGGCACTGATTTGCTCTGCTATGCATATAACATAGACTTTCCATTGACTAAAGCCAATCCATGTACATATCGCTCTGTGGTGAGCAGTCCTCCGCCTCTTTTCTCTGAAAGACAGTTCAGTTGACCAATCCCTGCCGGAATATTTCCAGCACGTGACCATTTGTGGTCATTTGGAGGCGTCGATAGTGGGCCTGGCTCGCGCGTTTGGTTGTGTAGGTAAGCCTTGGATGAGATTTTGTGAGTTTTCTTTATCATTTTGTGCCTATTTTGATGTTTTATAATAATTCGCTATGCTCACGTAAGCGGACAGGGTGTTTAGAGTCCATGTCTTTATTGTGTACTTTTTCTTTAAGCCTTATGACGCTGGAATAACAGTTTCCTGTGTGAAAGTAACCGCCTGGATAACCAGCGGTCATTTCTCCTTTGAATAAAATCAGTTATGTTTTCATTTTAGAAATATCATGTAATATCGTATTAAACTCAAAGACCTCATTTGAAATTTTAATAAGACTCTGAAATATCTTTATAACATAGAACAGTCACTATATAACTGTTTGAGTGTAAAAATCCGTTAATTATTGAACGTATTGTTATTAATTGATAATATTGCATTATGATGTGACTGAGAAACCGTTTCATGAATGTAATAAATTCTACAAAAGTTCATAAGCTCTGAATTGATAGCGTTTATATAGCTGTGTATTTAATGTTTCAGTTATACATTGTTGTTTACTTCAACAAGAACACTTTAGAAATGTAATTTACAACATGTTGATTTGTTTTTGACAGACTTCAGAGTAACGTTAGTTGGTTTGGACTGGACTGAATTTCACCACACCTCGTTTTTTGGACAACTTCATCCACAGAGGTTACATCATTCATAGTCGACTGGATAACTTACTTGTATGGAATAGTTTTGGATCAAGCTCCTTTTTTTTCTCTCTCCATGGATGGCATGGCTTTTGAAGAAACGTGATTTTTCATAGGCGTTTGCAAACTTGTGGGAAATACCAAGCGAAGTTACTGTTTTAGTCAAGTTTCTTTCCAAAGATGGATCAGCAGGCAGCTGGAGGGGAGGACCCAAATAAACCCTCCAAAAAGAAATCCAGTGAGGATGAGAGCAAAAACAAAAAACTGGTATGTATTGCATCTTGAGAGAGTTCAGCTTTTCGTGTTTTATTTATGTCACAGAAAGCAAGAGATTTTGTTCTTTAAATGGGTTATAACACAATATTGGTCCTACAAGTTTTTTATCTATTTATTTATATAAATAAAATATGTTTATCATTATGAAGTAAGAATACGTTAACATAACAAAATTGCTGCATTTTAATGCCATTTACACAGCATAGTAAAACTTGGTGACAGCTTGTTAGTCATTGTTTACACAAGTGCACGAGGATCACAATAGGCTGGCTTTTTTACTCAATGACCCAGTCAAAAGTTATTGTTTTTTTTTTTTTTTATTTAAACCCTGTTTGTTTGGCTTGTCTACCTAGTGTTAACCCCTTTTCAGCTATCAGGTTTTGATAATTTTTTTATCTATCAACAAAGTTTTACTCAAACATAGAGCATGTTTTTACTCAAAGATTAACCTGCTCAGTCAGCAGTCTCTGGTGGAGCTGTTGAAGCTATCAGTGTGTTATTACACAGGACCCTGAACCTCATGATAATGTGCTGTCAAAATACTCTGAGTCACACAGGGGGGTCTGAAGAAGTGATATCTGTGAGCCTTCATAGATGGCTGCGTCCAGAAGTCTTTAAGGTGAAACTGGAACTGCTTGTTTCAGTTCATGCTGGATGCCTTTTTGAAAGTTTTATAGCTTGAAAGTTTGTTGACATACTGACCTCAGGGCAAAGAAAGTTGGTTCGCTGTCTGTCATCTGGGTTATCAGCAGCAGCATCATGTGATTTGTAGAAATCTAATGACTATATAAAGGCGTCAGTGGTAACGGAACAGTTTGTTGGTTGCTATAGCATGTTAGGTATTTGCTAGCATGTTAGGTATTAGTCAAGTGTGATAAAGCAAACTATTTTCGCTACAACCTTACGTCATGCCTGTGCAGAACTGATTACTTCACTTTTTTCCATCCGTCTAATATTTTACAAGGTTATTGCACTCTTAATTTCTTAGTTTGATGTTTAATTAAAAAAAACAAATACGAATAATGAATTTTCTTTCTTTACATTTAATCACTTTTATTTATGGGGATTTTGCAAAAATATACATTTTGGGGACACTTTAAAATAAGTTTTACTTATTTATTTTTGTGTGTTCTTGGGGCTATCAGCACAGACTATTAATATTATTTTAAAAACTTAAAATCTGTTTTTTTCTAGTTAAGATTTCTGTAAACCTAACATTTAGTTTCATTGTAAGGATAATAGACTATGTTTTTCAGTGGTTGAAAGAACACTGAAAAATCATACTCCAGTAAAAGTACCATTACTTGCCCAAAAATGTAATGCGAGTAAAGTAAAAGTATCTGTTGTAAATATTACTCAAAGTAGGAGTAAAAAGTAGCCCGTTTAGAGGTACTCAGGAGCAGTGAGTATTATGATGTGAACGGCTTATGCATTTACATGCAGTTTGTTCACAGATGTGTAAACGTAACATTCTGTAGTGTATAACTAATTGTTTAATTCTCATCAGTGACATGCAGTCTAAAGTCTCTCGATCATTGCTTGTAAAGATTTTAGACATCATCTTACACACTTTTAATGCTTTCATATGGTTTGTTGCATTTAAGAAGCACCATTGTCTTGCGGTTGTTCAGTAAGATGCTATTTACTTTCTATGTGTGATTTGATTGGACAAAAATAACAGGACTGGTTAATCTACTTTAGCATATCCCCAGAGACAAGGGAAAAAAGTACTGAGTCTGACTGCAGGTTGAAGGAAAATAGTAAAGTAAAAGTATCAATACAGCACAAAAAATGTACTCAAGGGAAAGTAAAAGTGCAAATTTTTAAAACAACTCAGTCAACTACAATTCCTACTCAATTAAAGTAATTTGAGTATTTGTAATTTGTTACTTTACACCACTGCTTTGTATACAGTGGTCCAGTCACTCAAAGAAGCTAGAGCAGGTGTTCCAAAATATGAGTTATGATTTATTAAAGCTTCTAAATTAAGTTTTATTGAAGGCCACAGAGTAAATGTTACATCATATACTTAACTCTATTAAATAAAGCTGCCATGGGTTTTTACTTGATATTTGAAAAAATAATAGAAAACACTTCTCTACTCAAATAAACTAATGTAGTCTTATTTCTAAGGTTTTATACTTTAGTGAAATTATTGCAATAAAAAATAGGTAAGATTAAAAATTATAACACAATAGGGTTCAATCTAGAATAATCTAGTCAAACTGCACCTGCCTTTGCTTTGATTTGTTTGCAGATGTCTTGTGTCTTGTTCTCAATGCATTGTGTCAAAAAAAAAGTAGATTAAAAAAATCTGATTATTTTACAACATTGCATTTAATTAGATATCAGTTAGATTTTTTTGTAGCTCAACAATAAAATGAACAAATAAAAAGTGACATTCAATTAGAAAATCTGATCAGATGGCGTAGTTTGGGCATCTCTGTAAATTTGTGGTAAATGAAACCATATCATTCATTCTTACAGACATGGAGAACATATACTTCTTTAAGTTTAACATACTACTTTTAGGTTTATTATGCACAGAAGGTCTGCGCAATATATTGTTTTACCATTGATATCACAATGTGTATCCGCAATAGTCACATTGCATGATCTGCAATGTTGAATTGGGATTATATATGACCCGGAGGGAAAATCAAAGAAAATTTTTACCATAATGGAGCAAAAGGTTATCATTTACATCTGTTGTTAATGCCTGTGACTGTGAGCATATTTCAAGAGTTTAAAGCATTCAGGCACATCAAATTGTACCATTTGTAAGTTAAATTTTTTTATTTTTTTTAGCAAGTCTATGCAATGCTATTTTACATTAGACTTTTTACATTTTTGTACCTGAATTCCTATTAAACAGAGCTATTTAAGTAATCTGGTTAAACAAAATGTTGCAATGTCAGATGCTTCCAATGTCCAACGTAATTCACATACACTGTTTTTTAATGTGTTCAAATTAGGCATGCGCCGGTATACGTTTCTGACAGTATGATAACCTTGGATAAAGACATCACAGTATTGTGATAAATGCTCTAAAATAAGTTCTTTTAAAAATGTCTGGTTAAAAATTTTTTTAAATGTCTGTATTTTTTTTCTGGGTAAAAAAATAACATCTTTCTGCCATTTAACACAATATATTTCATTTTAGGAAACGTTAGCAATATTTCGGAACAGCAAACATGTCAGGCTAAATAAATAAATAAATAAATAAATAAATCATTGACTTCTGCTATCTTCATTTGTTTCAAAAGCACAGATTTCTTAACAACACAAAAAAAAAATCACATAAAAACTTTACATATACCTTAGGAACAGTATAACAGAAAATCTTTGCGGTTTTAAAACCTTGACTTTTCCAAACCACAGTAAACCTTGAAATCGGTTATCGTCCCATGCCAAGTTCAGACAAAATTTGCCAAATTCTCAGACATTGCACATTTATATAGTAAATAGTAGGCAGGGTAGTCTGCTTATGCCACTTGTAATGACCTGGGATTCTTTAGCTTTTAATGTCTAAAAATGTAATGCTGATAACTAGATGTAGGACGTTCTATTTCTAGGTGCCTCCTCATGCATGTATTAATTACTTCACAAGATTGCCTCACTTCCCAAAAGTTGTGCTTTTGTCTGTGGACTTCTCAAAAGCTATCGGAAGATCATGTAGTCATCTTGTACGGTCTCAGACAGAGCTTATCATCACAGTAGGGTTCCAGATCAAGCTGGCTGAATGAGTGTCTAAGTCTTGGTAATCCGCATATGTGTTGTTACTTTGCTTAACAACTCGTCTTCAGTCAAATGAGCGCGTCCCGTACCAAGCTTCATAATGAAAGCAGTCTCTTGACAGCAGTCTTCTGGGAGCTGCAGGAATCCATCCATTTATGAGCTCCATTTGCTCTGAGGAATGTAAACCCTTGGGGACATTCTAATAGCCAGTGTGTAGTTGGAAAAGTGGACTGAAAGTAGTGTGGCAGGGATGTTACTACACATATTTCTTTCTGGGTCCCAGGCTGCTCAAAAGTTGGAGCATATGGTGTGTTGTAATACTTGTTTATAGTTGGTGTTTAGATCCTCTTATTCCCAGGAAATGGCTAGCAAGCCTCTATAAGTGGAATGGGTGTGGTTTAAAAACACCCCACATTTGGTTCGCTGGTGCAGCGGTTTTCTGCCAGGGGGTCTGCACTGCTTGGGGGCACATTTATGATGTTATTGCAACATGGCTAGAAATGTTTGTTTACAAGGCAAGAAGCTGTAAAATAAGTTAAACAGAAACTTTTTTTGGAATTAGGGGTGCTGTGGCATTGGGAAATCTGTCTAATGTATAGGATATGATAGCTTATAGACATCGTAGAGTGATTCGAAATTTTGTCATTCATATTCACTGTAGTTTAAAACTTTGGATTCATAAAGATTTTTTAAAGGTGCATAAGTTGCTTACCAAGGCTGCATACATTTGATTTCCTATAATACCAACGCTATCTCATGGCAATTCGTAACCTTTTGATTTAATTGCTAATTTGTATGAAATTGTACAATCTCATTTATGCAATTTAGTATGATTTTACTCATCTTTCCTTCTTGAGCTATGTAATAATCTAATGTTTTTGGCATGAAAGAAAAATTTACAAACATTTTTAGGCAGACTATCTATTGTTAGCTATTCATACTATAATGCCTGTCTAACTTACGTTTTTTTTTTTTTAAATATTTAAAGATCACACAAAAGTTTCAAAATACAATCAAAATCAACTGGAAATTTCATAGAAACTCAGTAGTCATTAGTATGCTTTAAGAAGTGTAATTCATAAAAAATTCATTCTTATAATAAAGTCAGGAACTTTTTGTTTGAATTATTTTAAATTGAAAGTATTTTCATTATTGACTTAGTCAAGGGAAAGTGAAACAGTCAGAAAGATTAAGAATCAGTGTACTTATGTTTGAGGTTTTCACATGCTCACACATCCCAGCCTACTAAACTC